TATATATATATATAATTTTCTGTTTGTCTAATAAAATCAAATTAAAATATCTTTTAATGAATTTGACTACTATAATTGTAGGGGAGAGGGTCACAAATTATAATTTAAAAGGTTCACCTAATGAATATGCTAGTAATTAAGATTCCACTATAAAATATGAGCAAATCTTTAAATTATAATACTCACAAAACAAGATGTTCATAATGGAAATAGAAATAAAAATATTTTTTTTCATTAAAATTAGTAAAGAGTTTAAATTTAATGAATGAAAATATGATTAATATATATAAAAAAGATATGTTGATGAAAATTTTAATGATAAGATCGCACATTTAACTAAAAATTGTTTTCGTTTTATCATTTTAATATATATTAGATTATATTTATTAAGACAATTTAAACAATTTTTGAAAATTGAAACTTACTTATTTATTTTTTATTTGAATTATAAATTTAAAATTTTAAAACTTTTAATGAGGATGAACTAAACGTAAATTTTTATATTAATCTTGTTTTCATATAAAATAAATTCACACTAATAAAAGTATTACATTATATCAAAATATTATGAGTTAAATATTTTTTTTTATGTCTATAAATATGAAAAAGTTCATTTTTAAACTTCCATTTTTAAAACCTCAACGACTTTTGGTCTTTCCTTTTTTAAAAATGTATCAAATTTTATCTCTATTGTAAACTAATCCAATTTTATACTAATATGCTTAGTTGATAATATTGTTTTTTTGAACCTTTAAATTAACATCCAATTTTATACTAATATTTAGTTGATAATATTGTTTTTGAACCTTTAAATTAGCATAAATGTATGGTATGTTTGGTTACACTATATGAATAAAATTTATGGTAGAGATAAAATCGAGAAATTTTAGAAAAGGAATAACCAAAACTTAACGTTTTAAAATGAAGGATTAAAAAAAACTTGCAAATATTTAGGGGAAGAAAAAAATGTTTAATCATCCTAAAAAAAACTGTTAAATCCAAAAATTATGTATAATTTTTTTTTCCAAATACACGCATTTGTTTCTAAAATATTATTGACAGTGCTAGGTAAATACATTTATTACAGAAAAATATTTTAGAAAAATTAAAATTACTAAATTCTTATCTAAGATTACCTATTTTCAAGAATAAGTCGAATGAAATTGTTATTAAATATTAGAAAATTTTAAGTATAAGACTTTGAAAATTAATTTTATAATTGACACAAATTTTTAAAAATGACAAATTGTTTTAAAATAAAACGTGAATATACTTTTTTGTCACACACACAACACTATGCATAAAAGGTTGTAGGGGGTTTACAACACAGTCATTTTTGTGGTATGAATGAAACATGCTTTTAATTTTTATTAGTTGATTACAAGGTATAATTACTCTTGGCAGCTTTATTTTATGAACGAGGCATGCAAATTTAATTTCTAGATCTCAATTGGAGAGCGCACTCTGATGAGCTGTATCTTATTCACTGAGAATATCCTTGTTTATATTATGTCACTCAGTGTTTGAAAACAAACCAAATCCCTCCAATTCGAGGGCAAAAATGTGTTGTACAAAACCATCTTGACAAACACATTTCGGACTAAACTTGGTTGTTTATTTTTGATAAGAAAACCTAGCTCTTTTCGCCTATGTTTGACGAAGACCATACTATGCAATATCCCTGCGCCTAGTTTGTCCAATTGCATGGTTTAAAGTTTAAACATCCTTCAAAACTCTCGAGTCCTATAAATAGCGACACTCTCCCCTCACTCTATCCATTATCTTCATCACTCACATCAGTAACAAAACAACACCACAATGGCCAACCCTTTCGCTGTTTTCCTTATGACATTCTTCTTTTCCCTCTCGCTATTCACCAGCGTCAAATCAGACTCATTCGCTTTCAACTTACCCAGTTTTGAGGCAGATTCTGAAAACGTAATAGTTGCTGCTGATGCCAACATAACAAGTGGAGCTTTACGACTCACCAAAACGGACCTATACGGCAACCCAACTCACCACAGCGTTGGCCTCTCAGCGTTCTTTGGTACAGTTCATCTCTCCGACAGAAAAACTGGGAGAGTCGCAAACTTCCACACCGAGTTCTCCTTTGTGGTGAACACAAAGCGTAAATCACTCCACGGCGATGGCTTCACCTTCTTCATCGCATCAAACGATTTTCGTTTCGCACACAACTCAAGTGGAGGGTTCCTCGGACTTTTCAACAAGGAAACAGCGTTCAACACCTCCTTAAACCAAGTCGTTGCGGTTGAGTTTGATAGCTTCGCGAATGAATGGGACCCTAACTTCCCAGAGTCTGATTCTCCTCACATAGGAATTGACATCAACTCCATTAGGTCAGTGGCAACTGCACCATGGCAACTTGATGTTCAACCAACAGGAACAATAGGAAAGGCACACATAAGCTATCTATCTTCCACCAAAATATTGAGCGTCACCGTGGCTTATCCAACTAGCCCTGTGAATTCAAATGTCACTGTTTTATCGTACCCCGTTAACTTCGGGAGTGTTCTGTCAGAATGGGTCCTTGTTGGTTTCTCTGGTACCACCGGTGACTTGGTTGAAACGCATGACATTCTTTCGTGGTCTTTCAGTTCCTTCTTGTAGAACTGCACAGTGGGAGAAGATTGAAATGAGATAAAGTGCTTCTTGAGAGAATGATCAATGGTCTTTTCTGGTTTGATGGATGTTGTTAATTAGTTGTTACTGTTGTGATGTTTCTGTTTCCGGTTTAATTTTCATAATAAAGATTGTTTTAAAATTATGAATAATATTTGTTTGCATGGACGCTACTAATATTATTACTACCTCCCTTCATGGTGGACATATCAGTTTCTTTTTATTAGCATTAACAAGTTTTCAGCATGTCATGCACTTTAATAGTTTTATATTAGCAAAAAGAGGGACAAGATGAGAAACTGAGTTATGTTACGCGTAAATAAATCCAATTTTACCTAGAAGATACATGTTTTTACATTTAAACCTATATATCTTCAACAACCTTTTTAATATTTATTTTTATCTTCAATTGTTTTAAAAAGTACACCGACTTAATGTTAAATATGTTCTTATTAACTCTTATATATTAAATATGAACTTATAATTAATGCAAGAATTTTTTTTAGAAGTTTTTTTTTTCAATAAAAAAGTTTTTAACCATTTTTTTAACTTTTAAATATGATTTATATATATATATATATATATATATATTTATTTATTTAAATATAATATTTTTTAATTTTCTTAATTTTATATAATAAATATATAATATGTACATTGCATAAACTAAAATACCAATTAGTATTAAATAAGGAAAATGTGAAGCTCTCTAATTGGAGAACCTTTTCTATTAATTGAAATGTTTTTTTATATATTTTATTTTGGATAATATCATATACTAAGAATATGTTCGGTAAATATTTTAAGCTAGCATATAACCTTTTTAATTATTAGCTAAAAAGTTGTGTTTAATCATATTAATAGTGTTTGATAAATAAACTATAGCGTTTTATGAAATGTTACCACGCATTTTGATTTATAGTTTCGTCTAATATTTTATTTCCTTTTCAACCTTAAAAGAATCATTAAAACACTTGTTATCCTTTTTATATAAGGTAGCACCTTTTTTAGTGCATTTTTTTTATTAATTTGATATTTTATATTATTTTTTTTTAAAATTATTACACTTATTATTTTAACATTATACATTAAGATATTGATAACACGTTAATATGATGCAATGATATTTTCATACTTTAACATAATGAAAATATGATATCTATTTAATTGTATGTTATTTTCATTCTATTTTATTTTTGTTGGGAATATTTTGAAATATTATTCAAGATTAAAAATAGTATATATGCACAGTATAAAAAAGTTTGAAGCTAAAAATGTAATTAAAATAATTGATCTGTAAATAAAAAATTATAAGAATTCAAAATTAATTTTAAAAATAAAACTATAATTATCCAAAATGATATTTTTATTCATAATTAAATTAAAACTCGCATAAAAATATTTTATAAATGTGTTCATTAATTTCTATAATTTTACATTTTTCCGCTATGTATATATGATTTTATCCGACACTTATAAAGCAATAAGTAGCCTAATTTATCATTTAATTTGGCCAAACTTAGGTTAAGCAAATCTAAAAAAACTTTTTTCTTTTAAGTAGATTTTAGTAGATTGATTCAGAGAATAATTGCTGTTCAAAGTAAACTGAATATATTAAAAATTTCAGACAAAATGATGATCAAAATTGTTAATATATATGACATATCACAATTAAAAAAATATACGGAAGATTATTCAAAGCATATTTTTCAATATATAATTAATAATTTGAAAGATTATTATAAATGAATAAAGGAAAAAAATATTCAAATCTGTGGACAGAAGGGAAAAAGTAAAAAAAAAGTTTAATTCAAAGTTCAATGAGAAATTTTTAGTGATATTAATGAGAAATTGGTATACTTTTTAGTGTAGTAAAATGTTTAATTTACACCATATTTAATAATAGGTTATTATATTATTTAGTAACTTTAATTATATCAATAATAGTATGTGATATATGCTACGTTATGCAATGTGATAATATACATATTTAATTGATAGGTAGTTTTTTTTTATATCTTATTTTATTACAATGACAATATAATAACACCAAATTATAGTATTATAAGCTCTCAATTTCTAACTATTTTATAGTTAGATTAACCTGAGAAAAATAAATAAATAAATTTTTTAATTTTTATGCATTTTGAGTATAGAAATCATTAAATAGTTAACTAATTAAAAATATGTAGATAAATACGACCTTTTAAGTAGCTATTATTACAAAAGTCAAATAATTTATTTTACATAACAAATTGTGATTGGATAATAGTTTTAAAATTCTTTAAAATTGATGTTGTGACATGATCTAAAACTATTTTTGCTTAAAGAGGTGATATGAGGAAATCACATATATCATACACACTCTATTAATTAAACACTTATACTTTTTTTTAATCTCATATTTATGCTTCTTTCTCTTTTCTATATATAATTTTCTTTCTAACCGGTGCTAAATAGGATGGATTAAGGGTCGATCCAATCATTAGTGAAACCTAAAACATATTTTTAAAAAATGTTTTTTTTAAATAAAAAGCTATATGTTGGATTTCATGTTTGTTTTATTTTTGAAAATATGTGATTTTTTTTTCTTTAATATATGTAGCCTAATTATTAAAAAAAAAAAACTAATGCTAAATATTTTTTTTTATGAACTTAAAATTAAAAGCATTAGTGACCCGTGGGTGAGTGCCCATTTATAATTTTCCATTTTCTTATCCCCTTTGGCCATTTCATGTCTATATCCATGTCCATTGGTAACGTAGAATTTGCATATTATATCACAATATATGATGGATTGTAGGTGTATAATAATACGACCGTAACTAGTTTACAGTTGGCAATCATTTTTTATGTAGAATTATAGAAGGACATTAGGACAAGTTAAATATGACCACATAAACTAGGTGTGTTACCCAATATCATATGAGTGTCGATCACTATACTGATGACTTCTATTTTGTTTTTGGGATAATGGCCGATCGATGACTAGATTTCATGCAATTTGCAAATACTTTCACCAAAATCCTTGATACTATACTCCCTCTCTATGCCCCCTTCTTATAATTGATCGATCGTTTTCAGAATGATATATCCAAAGTTTTGTTAACCAACAACATGTTTTGAACTTATATATTTGGAACTTTAGAACTTTGGGTTCCCCAACGTCAATAATTAAACTTACCACACTATGTGAGTTGCATACCGTATTTCGGCAATTTTATTCTAATTTAACTTCTTAGCTGGCCAAAAGGCCTATATATAACAGCACTTTCCACATTGTTTCCAGCATCAAATTTCTAAGTCCCCTTTCTACTCTACTTACTTACCACACAATGGCTTTCCTCAACTCATCAAAACCTAACCTCCTCCAATCTCTAAGTCCCCTTTCTACTCTACTTATCAAATTCCTCATCCCTTTCCTCTTGCTACAACATCACATTGTCAAGTCACAATTTTCACCAGCCCTAGCAAATGACGAAAGCATTTTCTTCGGCATCTCTCTTTTCAGCAAAGAAGATCCAAACATAATCTTGTTGGGAAATGCCTCAATATCTGGTGGGGTTCTAAGGTTAACCAACAACGACCAATTCGGCCAACCAGTCACACACAGTGTTGGCCGAGCAGTGCACTTGACACCTATTCACCTCTGGAACAGACACAATGGAGACCTGGCAGACTTCGGTGCTGCCTTTTCCTTTGTGGTGAACTCAAAAGGTTCAACACTTCATGGTGATGGTTTTGCGTTCTTTCTCGCACCGGCAGATTTTCACTTCCCCAAAAATTCAAGTGGTGGGTACCTTGGTCTTTTCAATCCCGATAATGCTTTCGACCCTTTCAGGAACCAAGTAGTGGCTATTGAGTTTGATAGTTTCACCAATGAGTGGGACCCCAGTTCACCAGTCCAGGTTCCTCACATTGGAATTGACGTTGGCTCTGTTAAATCAGTGGCAGCTGTGCCATGGCCAAGTGAATTGGAATCGCCAAGTGCTATAGCACATGCGAGCCTGAACTATAACTCCGAGTCCAAGAGATTGAGTGTGTTTGTGGGTTACCCTGACAATAGGAATGCCACTGTCTCTGCCCTAGTTGATTTGAGGAACATTTTGCCGGAATGGATCAGAGTTGGTTTCTCCGCCTCCACTGGTGAGTTGGTTGAAACGCATGACATTCTGAGCTGGTCTTTCGAAGCTACCTTGTAGATCCTGATCGAGGCTCCCAAAGTTGAAGGAGGTGTTCGCTTTAAATAAAAATAAAAGGTTTCCCCGTTGAGGGTGCTGTGGTAAAAGTTAATTTGTGTGGTTTAAGATTTCTTCTATTAATAACATATCCTTTTGATTCTGATTTATATTAAATTTAAACCGTTGGCAATTTGGCATTATATATTCTTGAAGTCATAGTGGAGTTGAATTCTTCATAGCATTATATAGCAAAATAATTTTACGTAGGTATTTAAAACGCATGTTATAACTGCAAGTTCAATCAATATAAAGAGTTATAGATTTTATTTATCTTTCTATATATGCACGAATACTACTAGCTTTACTCATACAACAGCAACAGCCAAAGTAGTACGCAATATCATGATGAGACTCCACATAATCCATTTCATCACACTAGTGCAATTCTACTTCAATTCTTAAAAGTATCTAACTAATTAGAAAACTATACTACGATAATATTTTTAAAATTTTAATGAGGTTTTCTATGTTAAGAATCACACGCGACGACTGACATACAAATGGCGTTAAAACTACAATCGACGTAGAAATAAGATTTATGAGTGAGAGATACTATTTTCACTCATTGTTCTTATTCTTGCATGCCTTTGTCTTTTTTCCTCCAGCGACTTACATCCTTCCTTCACCTGTGCGTCCTCTAGGATCTTAATTCTTAATTACTGTCTCCTTCGTGTCTTTAATTTCCAGCATCAGTGTGCATCATTTCCACCGTCGTGCCTCCTCATTTTCACCTTGACAGCGTCACCGCTCTTTATTTTAAAGTTTTATTTATAAACTTCTTTGTGTTGTTAATTGTTTTTGTTTTTTCTTTTTTAAACCTATGGGAAGAAGAGACATGGGGTTGCAATCAAAAAGAATTTTTGATAATATTTAAAAAATGTTACTTAATTGTATATAAATATTATTAATTTATTTTTCTGTTATATTATTAAATATTGTATATAATTTATATTGTTAAAATTTTTTAATAATATTTTTATTAATTAGAAAATAATTTTTTTTATATCAAAGTGATATTTTTATAATATTTTAATAATATTGCTAATTTTTAGTTAACATTATATAATAATAATTAATTTTAATATAGATATTATTATCAATTATATTTTGCCTCTTAATCTCCTATTTACTACAAGTTTTTGAAGGTTGAAGATATTCTTAGTTAGTTAGTATTAAATTTATATAAAATATCAAAGTTATTTAACTTAAGTATAATTTTATAATTATATATATTATTTATGAGTCATTCATTTATTCGATGTGAAATTTTAATTTTGAAAAATAATTAGAGATTGAAGAAGTTATTATAAAACATTTTTTTATTTGATGTAAGACTTTAATTTTAGAAAGAATAGGAAAAAATAATATTAAAAAATGTTATTCTATCTATAATAACATTTTAAAAAAACTGTAAAATAACTTATTTATTTAATCTACATAATATTTTAATAAGTGTAACTTAATAAATCTATATATTGCTAAAAAAAAGTAAAATATAGTAGTGTTGGTTTGTGTAAGTGACATAAAAGCATGAGGGTGTGAAGAAGAAGTGTCAGCGCGATGTGGAGAGGAGGCAAAGTCGTATTTTGCGGGAGAGGAGAAGCATTGACGGATAAACATTCTTCTCAGTCATATAACAAAGTAAAACACCAACATAACTAAATCAATATAAACTTGCCATGAAAAAATTTCCACGCACAAAATTTCAACCTATATCTTACATTCTAAGAAAAAAATATTATGTTTATAGGAAAAATAGATCACAATTTTACTAAATCAGTAATATTTGAATGGAATTAATTATTTGACCATAATTAATATTCAGAATTAGTTGAATAATGCATTTTGTAAAATTATATATATATATATATAT